AGGGTCTCAACGACACCTCCACCGGCGCCATCTCCGCTTCCGACCAGCAGCTCACCAAGTTCCACGGCACCTACATGCAGGACGACCGTGATGTGCGTGACGAGCGCAAGGCCATGGGTCTCGAGCCCGCGTACTCCTTCATGATCCGCTGCCGTCTGCCCGGTGGTATCTCCACGCCGCTGCAGTGGATCCAGATGGACGACATCGCCAACGAGCTCGGCAACGAGACCATGAAGCTCACCACCCGCCAGACCTTCCAGTTCCACGGCGTCGTCAAGGGCAAGCTCCGACCCGCCATGCAGGCCATCAACCGCGCGCTCATGACCACCATCGCCGCCTGCGGTGACGTCAACCGCAACGTCATGTGCTCCTCCCTGCCGAACCAGTCCGCCTACCACCGCGAGGTCTGGGCCTACTCCAAGATCATCTCGGACCACCTCCTGCCCTCCACCTCGGCCTACCACGAGATCTGGCTCGCCGACGAGAACGACAAGAAGACCCAAGTCGCCGGCGACGCCGTCCAGGACTTCGAGCCCCTCTACGGCCCCACGTACCTGCCCCGCAAGTTCAAGATCACCATCGCCATCCCGCCCCACAACGACACCGACGTCTACGCCCACGACATCGGCCTCATCGCCATCAAGGGCGCCGACGGCAAGCTCGCGGGCTTCAACCTCATCGCCGGCGGCGGCATGGGCGCCACGCACAACAACAAGAAGACGTACCCCCAGATCGGCCGCATGTTCGGCTTCGTCTCGACGGACCAGGTCCACATCGCCTGCGAGAAGATCATGCTCGTCCAGCGCGACTTCGGCGACCGCAAGAACCGCAAGCACGCGCGTCTCAAGTACACCATCGACGACATGGGCCTCGACGTCTTCCGCGGCAAGGTCGAGGAGCTCTGGGGCCACAAGTTCGAGCCCGAGCGCCCCTTCCACTTCCAGAGCAACGTCGACACGTTCGGCTGGCAGAAGGACGAGTTCGGCCTCAACCACTTCACCTTCTTCATCGAGAACGGCCGCATCGAGGACACGCCCGAGTTCCAGATGAAGACGGGCCTGCGCGAGATTGCCAAGGTGCACAAGGGCGAGTTCCGCCTGACGGGCAACCAGCACCTGATCCTCAGCAACGTGGCCGACGAGGACATGGACGGGCTCAAGGCGCTGATGAAGCAGTACAAGCTCGACAACGTGCAGTTCTCGGCGCTGCGGCTGTCGTCGTCGGCGTGCGTGGCGTTCCCGACGTGCGGCCTCGCGATGGCCGAGTCGGAGCGCTACCTGCCGGTGCTCATCAGCAAGCTCGAGGACTGCCTCGAGGAGAACGGGCTGCGCCAGGACTCGATCGTGATGCGCATGACGGGCTGCCCCAACGGCTGCGCGCGCCCGTGGCTGGCCGAGGTCGCCTTCGTCGGCAAGGCGTACGGCGCGTACAACATGTACCTCGGTGGCGGCTACCACGGCCAGCGCCTGAACAAGCTGTACCGCCAGAGCATCAAGGAGGACGAGATCCTCGCCATCATGAAGCCGCTGCTGAAGAGGTACGCGCTCGAGAGGGAGCAGGGCGAGAGGTTTGGCGACTTCTGCGTGAGGGCCGGCGTCATCCGCGCGACGAAGGAGGGACGGGACTTCCACGAGGGCGTAAGTGATATCCGTCTCTGATCAAGATGATGATTTGCTAACAATGATGCAATAGGTCCCTGATGAGGATGAGGAGTAAATGATTTGCAGATGAAAGATGATGATCTTGGTGCGAGGCAGATGTGTTACGAAAGGGGGCAAAAGAAATCTTTGTAAAATGTTATGTTTTTTTATATCCGTCAAGCTTCAGCATTGGGGGCAGGCGTTAGCTAGTGCTATTTTTTATATATCATATATATCACGTTTGAATCTTGTTCATTGTTTGACTGTCGTGGTAGTGAATTTGCAGTGGACATTGTGTGAATTGTAACTGGCAGGCTCAAGGCAGGAAGCCTGTGAAACGAAGAACCACAGATGCATTTCTTTCATAAAAGCGAACCCTGTGAGAGAGACTTGATAATGAACCAGGCAATGCCGCTTTTGGGTGGTTCATGGACCAGTCGCACCAGATGCACCAACAAAGCTGACAGTTACTGAGCCTGCCGGGGTTGATGCTGTGTAGAGTGTGATCCTAGTGAAACAATTTGTGACGAAATCGGTCTCTCAGGCGGTTGATTCGAAGTGCTTACCCATATAACGACGATGAGGGACAGAACTTGAGCAAGTGATGAGGCTTTCTTGTTTCCGGAAACTGCCAAATGGCACGAAGGTATCAAAGAGGCTGGATTAGGTCCTTTCTTATCGGCTTCAAGAAAAGGCTGCCATTGTGGTTTCTCAGCTTGAGTAATGGTCTCAGCACTCATCATATACCCTACGAGATCCCAGAGTTCCATTGGTTGGTCAAAGGTAGGCATGTTTTCAATAGAGCAAGTGTAGAAGTAGGAGCCTGCGACTTCTTTGTCTTTTGCTCTATGGCCTGCGACTGGAATTTAATTCAGTTAGCAGACAGGGGAATCTTCTCGGTCACGATGCGCACAGTGCTTTGCTCGAGAGCAATACCGCTAACCCGGAAACTCGAGAAGACCGTGCTTAGCCTCCTCACAAAGGCAGCCGGTGCCATCTCGTATTCGTAACGCAACTTGGATTCTTTGGTAGTTGATTCAATGTGATACTCGCAAAACGAGGACGAGGAGTGAGGATAAGCATGCGGTGAAGCTCTGGCTTTAGCTGTAAATAACTAATGGAAACCACACCAAAGTGTGGATTGAGGGCTATCTTTGTTGCTGCAAACCAGTAAGAAGAGGAGGAAGTCTTTCTATTGGTTATGAGGTTAAAGCTTGGCTGTATGTTCTGGGTGCTTATTACGCAGGCTGCTCGATGAACTTTGATGAACTTCTGGAGCTTAACGGATGATGCGAAATGTGGATGAAGATCTTTGATACACTGGCGTTTAATGTTACAAAGCTCGTTTCTTCTTGATGTCGTTCTGTCCAGCCTGGCCGCCTGTTTTCAATTAAGGGTATTTTCGAGAAGTGCCTTTCAAAACCCACTGCTTGCTTAGTAGCAAAACATACAATCAGATTCACAAGACACACACTGTGATCAATGGAAGCAAAGTTTTCTTCATAAGCAGACCAAATAAGTTGAAATACCTCGTGTTTCTCGTTTGGAACCTGAAGGCAAATCGAAGCTGTACGCTTATGCGTTACTCAGATCGTCTGGGTGCTGCAACAAGTGTTTCGGTAAGATACAACTTATGCTACAGGTCCAAAAGCCTTGGGTGCCACCTGATCTTGTTTTTGACCTGGCTTTAGGCATACTGCCGTGCAAGACCCCAGGTCTCTGATGATTTATACGTTTTGATCATGGGGAAATCATCACCTGGAGATGATGAGCGAGGTTGGAAGTGCCTCCAGCGGCGTTTCCCTTCTGTAATCCTCACTTTCGAGACCCCGCGAGACTCAGATTGCTTCACATCTTATATCTACAGCTTGAAGCCCTTGTTAGCGTGATAACGCTGTTTGTAGATTTCATATTTTCTTTTATCCACAGCCTAGGTTTTGATATCAGTGATACCCCAAGTGTTAGCCCCTGAGTTGGTTGCTATTAAAACCGGCCTATGCGAGCTTCAACCCAAAGTTTTGGTGCCAGAAACCAAATGCTTCACTCGTCTCCTGATTAATTACATCCTCTTGTCTTTAGATCTTTCAACTCATCAATCACGCATCAAATATCAAACATGCGACCTTCAGGACCCCCAACTATCGTACTCTGTTACCCAGCTTTGTAATTTGTCATGTATTCTGGTTCTCTTTCTGAGTATCTCACTCGAACCAGAGTCGATCGCTCTTATGTGGCATACGAGCTCGGTGGCCGAAACTCTCTCAAACCTTTGAACGAGGACCAACTGAGCCTGTGCTCCTTGGTTCAATTTGGTCTTTCCAAACACTTGATTCAAACTGAGCCGCTTTTAGAGTCTCAAATATGTGAAGTCGACTTCCACTGAATCTGTCGAGTTAGGCGGCTTCCTCATGAACTCTGACTGCTCTTAGAGCCTGTGAGAGAGGATTCATAACACGACCGCCATCGTGGTCTTCGTCATTGGCAGATTCAACATTCAGAATCCCAGGATGTTCTCCTTCTCTCTCCTCCTCTCGCATGGCCCCACAATTGATACAAAGAGGCAACAACGCCGCTCGCCTGCATCATGCATACTCGCTTGTTGGTTCTTCATACAGTCCGTTGCGTTGACGGCGTCCGCCCCCGACTTTGACCCGGAAGGAAAATTTTCCGCTAGCCTAAAAACCACCAAATCGCCCCAAACTTCACACCTTTATAGCTCTATGCGTACGTAATGCGTACGAATAAAAAATATATCAATCAATAGCCCTCGATTAGGTGATTATAACGATATCTTTTTTATTCGTACGCATTACGTACGCATAGAGCTATAAAGGTGTGAAGTTTAGGGCGATTTAGGGGGTTTTTGGGCTAGTAGATACTAAACGCAACGCTGAAAAGAAAAAACGAAACCCCTGGCGCGTTGCGTTGAACTGTCCGCTTAAAAAACCCCTTAAAATCGCCCTAAACTTCACACCTTTATAGCTCTATGCGTACGTAATACGTACGAATAAAAAAGATATCGTTATAATCACCTAATCGAGGGCTATTAATTGATATATTTTTTATTCGTACGCATTACGTACGCATAGAGCTATGAAGGTGTGAAGTTTGGGGCGATTTGGTGGTTTTTCAGTAAAAAGCCCCTTTTTTTGCCTTTTTTGGGCCACAAAGTCAGGGGCGGACGCTGTCAACGCAACGGACTGTACCAGGCCAAGATGAGGGGCAACGGTCGATTGTCTGCCGATCCTGCCGCCACACAAGTCGCTGCTGGTTTCCGTTCTTCCTCAGTCATACTCCAAGTCTGCTTCTAAATCTTCGGTTTCAATTCCATTCAGCCCACCCGCCTCACCGAGAAGAGCCATGGCGAATACAGCTCAAGATGTTCCGCTCGTCCCTGACGACCAGGTTCGCGCGACGCCTCTCTGATTTGACGCCACGAAAACGCAAACTAATCAAGCATAGTTCGACAACACTGATGGCGAAGCTGAGGTGCAGGTTAGTCAAGCTTCGTTCTTTGAGTTCCGGCGGGGTGTGAACTGATTGAGGCCTCTTTACCATGCAGTCTCTCATCTCGGACTCGACAAGCTTGAGAAGCTCGATCTTGCAGAACAGGATCGAAAATGGCCGCACATACCATAAGTACAAAGATGGAAGTAAGATTGCATCTACTCATCCCATCAATCTACTAGTAGGTCAAGCCGTGTCTAACAAAAGCCGTCAGAATATGCTTGGCCCAATGACGAAGAAGAGAACGACAGACTTGGTTTGTGGATTACCGAAATGATGCTCGATTGCCCTGCTGATCCCATTCTCAGACATGCAGAACGAGATCTGCTTTCTCACGTTTCACAACAGGCTGGGATTCGCACCTTCATGCGACGAGGGCGCAAAGGTCAATCGCGTCCTCGATCTAGGGACTGGCACTGGTCTGTGGGCAATCGAGTACGCTGATGCACATCCTGAAGCCGAGGTAAGAAAATCGGCGGCGGTTTCACCAAAAGCACCCCAGATCCTTATATATCTGACTGGGCTGATCACAGGTTCTTGGCGTGGACCTCTCTCCTATCCAGCCACAAGAGTAGGCTCCCCGAAACATGGTCCCAAAGATTATCAGAACTAATCACCGTCTCAAGCGTTCCGCCAAACTTGAAATTCGAGATTGACGACGTTGAAGAAGAGTGGCTATATTCACAAAAGTTCGACTACATTCATCTTCGATTTCTGAATGGTTCCATCGCCAATTGGAAGAGGTTGATCAAGAATGCCTACGAGTGAGTCGAAACGCTTCGTTTGAAGAACACAGGAAAAGAACTGTTTAATCATCATCTGGATCATGGTTATTCTTCCTGTCATCTGGATCATGGATGTTCTTCCTGCTAGCATGTATTTTGACTGATTCTTGAACCAGATTCACCCAACCGGGCGGTTACTTCGAAATCCAAGAGGGTGACTTCGTTCTCACGGCAGATGACGACACCTTGCCCCCAGAGAAACCACTGGCCAAGTTCGCCTCCCTCATTCGAGAGGCTTGTGTGAAATTTGGTCGGGAATTTATACCCGTGCCTTTGATGGAGCGGATGATGACCGAGGCCGGGTTCGAGGACGTTGTCCTCCAGCGCTTCAAGTGGCCCTCTAATCCCTGGCCAAAGGATCCCTACTACAAGAAGATTGGCGAGTGGAACTTCCACAATTTTGTCGATGCCGCAGAAGCCATGGCAATTGCACCCCTGACGCGCGCCCATGGCTACACGAAGGAGGAGGTGCAGGTTTTCCTCATTGATGTTCGTAAGAACATGAGAGATCCCAGCATCCACTCTTATATGCCCATGTATGTCCAGAATCTCACCGATGAACATGCATCATATGGTAATTTGACTGACAAATATCATAGATATACTATCGTTGGGAAGAAACCGCTAAAAAAGTCAACCCCAGCTCCAGCTACCGGAATAACACCAGCTGAAAGGTGAATTATCTAGGCATATGGTTTTAGCTGGCCTGGAAAAACGATTTTCTTTCATAGGCCTGTCGATAGGGCTCTATTATTTGGTTAACGGACTTTCAACAGGCACCTAGTCAGGCGCCTTGGTGTGAAAATGACAGAATAAACGTGTGATGTACTGTCCTCAAGATGGTGTTATTGTATTTCGGTGCTCACCCTACACAACAACGGATCGACCACGAAATAAAGACTTTGCCGCCCAGAACTTCCCCATTACATGTTGAGAGGGGGTGTTTAGAAGTAACCGCGAAAGGATGAAGTCTGGAAATGGCTGACCTGGCCAAAGGCTGAAAAAGTTCCTCGGGCACAGACCCGGCAAATCGGTGTCCGATGATCTCCGAGTAACACCATCACAATCGGGGGCCGGTTGCGAGCGGCTTACATATCAAAGGCCACGCTCTTCGTCCGAATCTCTGCGATTGTCAAACCATTACACCGAAGGAATCCAGCAGAAACAGATTTATCATCGTCGTGCCCAAGTAGCGCGGACTATCAACGGTGATTGAAAGCAACTTACAGAGCTGGCGCCCTCGGATACATAACGTCCAAGCACGCCAACTACGAGAGCAACTTTTTCATCCATCCATTTCATTACGAATTGATCACACATATTTAATTTTCAGTCGTCTCTCAAAATCGACCCCAGAACGCCATTGAGCCATGGCGAAAGACTTGCACGACAACGTGTCTCGCGTCAAGAGATTTAATGCCATTGGCACAACTCTGTTTGTTGGCCTGCGTGCGGCAGACGTGCTCCTTCAACATGCTCTTCTTCAGCGCGGCTGGGCGAAGAACGTGATTGAAATGGTCGGCGGAACCTCGTTGAACTCAAGCATGGTCCTCAACCCAGCGACTTCGCAAATCCATCCTTACTATGGCATCGTCACGTTCATGGCGTTTGGTAGCAGCCTTAAGCAGATCTACACCGCTCTCACCATGTCGGAACAAGACATGCCACCGTCGTCGGCCATAGTCATCGCGCTTTTCAACACGATCTTCAACTCACTCAACACCTGCCTGTCTGTCTGGACCGCGACATCTGCGCTGTCAAGCGCCACAACTCTATCGGAGATACTGGGGTCCCCGGCAGTCGCAATCGGTCTTGCATTCTACATGATTGGCATTCTGACAGAGGCGGCTTCGGAAACGCAACGCATGATTTTCAAGAAGGACCCCGCCAACAAAGGGAAGCCATATGCCGGTGGCCTGTTTTCTCTTGCAAGGCACATCAACTACGGTGGCTACACCATCTGGCGTACGGCCTATGCCTTCACCTGTGGCGGCTGGGCCGTTGCCATTCCGGTGTTTACCTTCTTCTTCTACGATTTTGCCACGCGAGGTGTCCCAGTCCTCGATAAGTACCTTTCGGAGAGAGTAAGTCCCTAGTATTCTTGAGATTTGAACACGTTACTCACTTTCTTTACTTAGTACGGTGATTCATGGAAGACTATCAAAGCCAACGTCCCTTACCGTTTGATCCCCGGCGTTTATTAAACCTTTGACCCGCTCAATATCAGGCGCGATGCAGATAGAGAAATGCGGCTATCGAGGTAACTTCATGCAGAAAAGACTAGAGGAGGGGGAACATCCTGACGAGTTTCGGAGTTGAAGTACTCGACTCTTATTCAATGTATATTGCGCTTCAATTTTGACACTCATGGTGACTATGAGACTCTTCAACCCAAATCAACTAGCCCTGGCCGTGTATTCAAGCAAATGCCACCGACCTAACGCAAAATTTGAAATGGAACTTGCTGGCCAATCTTTTGTTTCCGTAAGAACCCCAACAAACCGGGCGGGAAACCAGACTGAAGGGTTGCAAGAAGCACCAGGGTTGTATCATCGAAAGACTTGAGAAGAGCAGGAGCTTCTACAGGCTATTGCGGTTGGAGGGTACTTTCAAGAGCGCACCTGATCCGTTTCGGTTGGATAAACACTGCAGCTAGTCCCATTCCTCACCAACGCTAACTCTCTCTGTGCTGATTGCAAGCTGCACTACGAGGGCACAGCAGGCTCTCCGGAAAGCAAAGAGAACTTCCGTCAATCAGCTAGCCAATTACGCGTCATTTCTGGCAAAAGTTTCGATTGAATTCTGGATGCAAGTGTTCCGACGGGACGCTCTTCCGGCGGCTGGCTTGCTTCAGGGCCGAGTTCCGTTCTTTACGCCTCTGCGGAGCATTGAGCTATGGCCTTGGAATAAACCAGCACTCATAAAAGCCAAGCAAGAGACTGAAATGGAAATGATTGAACATCTTCCTCAATATCGAATCAGTAAAACTTGACGAGATGTTGACATTTGGGTTGGCTCTTACTCTGCTCTTTTGCACCAGTGTTGCTGGTCAGATTGATCCATCACCGTCGATTGTCATCGATGCTGGTACAATCATCGGTACAACAATATCATTTCCATCTACCACGGCTGTTGTGCATAAGTTTCTCGGTATACCTTTCGCGCAGGCGCCTGTCGAAGAGAATCGATTTCTCCCTCCAAAAGCCCTGCTGAAGCATGATGAAAACCCGCTGAATGCTATAGCGTGGGGGAACAAGTGCATTGCTGTCACTGGAAGTAAGTGGCATAATACAATTCGTGAATCATGAGCTGACAAAATCAGGTAGTGATGGGCCTCCTGAAAGCGAGGACTGTTTGTTCTTGAACGTGTACAGACCAGCCGGAGCGGGATGTCAGAGCTCGGGTCGGCCGGTTCTTGTGTGGATCCATGGCGGATGGTTGCGGGAGGGCACAGCCAGCCAGCCCATGTTTGACGGATCCAGATTCGCCGCTGAGCAGGGCATAGTTGTTGTGACTTTCAACTATCGACTCAATGGTGTGTTGGTTGATTCCGTTCTTGAGGTAGCTTGCTAACCATGAGATACAGTGTTTGGCTTCCCAAATTCTCCTCAACTACCCCTGGAAGAAGAAAATCTCGGCTTTTTGGATCAGCGGATGGCCCTCGAATGGGTCCAAGAGAACATAAATGCGTTCGGTGGAGATCCATCGAAAGTCACGATAGCCGGAGAGTCTTCAGGTGGATCTTCAGTTGACCGTCTCGTCACCACCATTCACTCCAATCCTCCGTTCCGCGCGGCGGCATGCTCGAGCGGCCAGGCCACAGTAAGCGCAATTGGTCGGGAGTCTGGTCCACAATCATGGGCTGCCCTCGCGTCTCTTCTTGGATGCGACGGCGAAGATCAGATCGGGTGCGTGCGTGCAGTCGATGGCACGACTATCCGAGACTTGATCGTTGCGAATGGTCTGGACTTCAGCCCGGTGAACGACAATATCACGCAAAAGGAGCTTCCATACCTTCCAATTCGAGCCTCTGGAGGTGTTGCCCCGGTCCCGCTTTTGATCGGCTCAACAGGTCAGGAGGGAACCTACTTAGCTCCTGCTTATGGCCTGGATCTTTCGAACGTCACTGAAGCAATGCTTGCGCAAGTCATTAGCGTATTCACTGGCAACGACTCAGATCTCATATCCGCTATTATGCAGATTGTTGCTGTCAAACAACAAATGACGGGTATCTCGCTATTTGGTGCTGCTGCTCAAGTCTATACTGAAGTGGTCTATCAATGCGTGAGTCTTGGTTCTTTTGTTCATTAGTTCTCTCATCCGTTACTAACCAAGACCCCTTTGAAGCCCGCCCTTCTTGTCTCTAGTGTTTCATCTCAGAGCAATATCCCGACCTGGAGGTATTTTTACAATGCCTCGTTTCCGAATCTCGCTGCCGAGGGCTACACTTCTGATGAGCTGGGTGCATCCCATGGAACGGACACGGCCATGATCTGGGGCACTTATCCTCAAGACGGTGCCACAGATTACCAAAGAGAACTCAGTCAATATTTGCAAAAGCTGTGGGCAGGATTTATCAAGGACCCTTCAGGCAAAGGCCCCGGCTGGGAAAGGGTGGACGCAGATGGTAACAACATTGCATGCATTGGGTGCACGGGAGGAGGTGGCGAGCTGAATCTCATCGCATCTGCCACTGTCGATGGATGGTGTTCAACGTACGAGCCGTTCTTCGGTAGAGTCAAGACACCATTCGTCAAGGCTTAGGTGACAGGGTTCATTTCCTTGATGGGTCCGGAACCACGATTCGTCGAACCATCATCGCGCATGGCTCTGTTGGAACCGTGACCTGGAACCAACATAACCCCTGGTAGAGATACCCGGCAGGTAGCATCCGGCCACCAACACCAACACCCGCATGGTAAGGTAATGGAGCCTCGTAAGAGAAATCAATGCCAATTCTATCACTTTTCATTGATACGCGCGCTGTTTCCCATTCTGGAAAATGCGGTATCCACGGACAACACTGCAAATGGCTTGTTCACCGCGAACGTGCATGACTTTCCCCGGCCAAGAAGAGGGGTAGAGAGATAAGTCCACGTCTCGTGGGAAGCAAAACAATCGTCTTGTGCAGACCTCCGTTGTGCTCTCTTTCCCCTTCATCTTCATCACAACTATTGACGTTGATTGACCATGTGCGGTGACAATAGGTCTTCACCTGCGGCCGACGCCGCCTCGGCTCCTGTCCAAGCCAACAACCCTATCCAAATTGTCCCGGATGAGGTAATTCAGACATCTCAAAGTGGTATCGCATGTTTTACAGCTTACTGATAAAAGTGTACCTCAGTCTATACCCGACGACGTGTCAGCAATTGGAGAGGTAGGCGACTCGTCTGGGTTTGAAGCATAATATGCTCACAGTTGCCTCCCAGAGCATCTCATCTTCCAGCGCTAGCGTATCTAGCTCGATCCTTGAGTACCGTTACGAGAACGGTCGGACTTACCACAAGTACAAGGATGGCAGTAAGCATGGCCGAAAAGCCGTCGGAACGCGGTTGGTTAATGAGATTAGAATACATGTTACCCAACGATGAGCTTGAAAACGATCGACTTGGTAAGAATAGGCCCATGATGCGTGTCTATTTTCGCAAGGACTGTGGTATGCTGATTAATATACAGACTTGCAACATAACCTGTTCCTGTTGACATTTGATAACACGCTTGGGCTTGCTCCCCCCTGCCAAAAGGATTCCTCGGTGAAGCGTGTCCTCGACGTTGGTACAGGCACTGGTATTTGGGCTATTGACTTCGGGGAAGATCACCCGGATGCTGAGGTACTTGCATGGTTGTCCTTAGCTCCAATTTTCGCAGAGACTCATTGGTATGCTAGGTCCTCGGCATGGATCTTTCGCATTCAATGCCCGAATAGTGAGTCGATAGTCAATCGAATCTGAATCGGCCACTGTGCTGGCTGGCCCACTGACTTTTTGTAGCGTTCCCCCGAACGTCAAATTCGAGATTGACGACTTGGAAGAGGAGTGGATTTATTCGCGACCGTTCGATTACATCCATAGTCGGATGATGAATTCCTCAATTAGTGACTGGAAGGTGTATCTTCAGAAGGCATTCAAGTAAGTTCCTTGGACAAGATGGCCGTAAAAAAAGCTCTGAATAAGGATTCGACTAAAATCAACTTAGCCATCTCTCCCCTGGCGGCTATTTCGAGCTACAAGAGCCTGATCTTATCCCGCATTCCGATGATGGCACTCTCAAGCCGGAACATGCGCTGTCGAAGTGTATTGACCTGATGCTTGAGGCTGCTGTCATTTTTGGGCGCCCTTGGAAAGAGATTTCTACGCTTGCTAGAACCATGGAAGAGGTTGGGTTCGTTGACGTGAAGATGCATGTTTTCAAGTGGCCTTCAAATGGGTGGCCTAAGGATCCTAAGTACAAGGAGTTAGGACTCTGGAATAACGAGAATCTCTGCTCTGGCTTCGAAGGACTGTGCATGGCACCTTTCACTCGAGCCCACGGCTGGACGAGAGAGGAAGTCCTTGTCTTAATGGCAGAAGTGCGGAAGGACTTCAGAGACAGATCTATTCACGCCTACTGGCCCATGTAGGTATCACGACACTATTTACGTTGGACTCGCTAACGAAGTATTAGCTACTCTTTGTATGGAAGAAAGCCAACGGAGGAGAAAACCGATAACTAGCCATACGATCACTTGGTGTTATACGTGGAACTTCCCCGGTAAACAATGACGTTTGTCGGACGGTGTGTCCTAACAAATACACAATGGAGTTTAGCATAGCCTCATCTCTGAACGTGAATGGAAACATTTCTCATATGTCTGGGCTTCGGTGGTTCTTCTCCAACATAAATCTGAGGCTTGTACTTATTTGGCCGTTGGCCAGCCCCGTACTCGTTGGGAACAGCTTTCCAAGGCCGACTTATGACCGGCTGATGTACCCGGCCGAACTTTTACCAACCTCCAACAGATATGGAATCCATGACTGGGTAGCATGTGGAATCATCTTCGTTTGATCCTTGCAACCTGATACGCGCGTAGCTTCCTGTTCTGGAAAATGCAGTCTCCACTGATATCGCTTGATATGGCTTGCTTGTCACCAACGTGCATGACTACCACCCATGGCCAAGAAGAGGGGTAAGAAGTCTGATCACATTTCAAGAGACAACAAAACGTGGCTTCTTTCAAACCTTCTTGCTAAGCGAAATCTCGTTGTCTACATTGCATTTGAGGTCGCTTTCTTGGAAAATGTGTGGTGATAACAACGAAGCAACTCCGGCTGCGCAGGCGCCTCCTATTCAGGCCAACAATCCCATTGATCTTATTCCCGATGAGGTGTGTTGTTGGAAGCCTCTCAAGTATGTCAAATGATTCTGACGGCAAAATTTAGGTAGTCGATGATGGTGCCTCCGAGCACGCAAGAGTAAGCGTTTGCAATACCTGATTTCTAGCATTTGGTTAACGAGGGGTAGAGTATCGCATCTTCGAGCGCCAGTGTAACCAGCTCGGTCTTTGAATTTCGAGTGGAGAATGGTCGAACTTACCACAAGTACAAAGATGGAAGTAAGTTTCTTCTAGACTGCAGAAAGCCTGTCATTATTAGCCACAGCTAACCGACACAGAGTACAACATTCCCAACGACGAGCCAGAGCAAGACAGACTAGGTAAAACAACGAGAAGCCCTTCTTATTGAAATAAGACGCTCAACTCAACTGGACAGATCTCCAACACAACCTATTTCTGTTGACTTTTGATAACAAACTTGGGCTCGCGCCCCCGAATGAGCCAGACTCAAACGTCCAACGTGTGCTCGATATTGGGACAGGTACGGGAATCTGGGCTGTTGAGTTTGGAGAGGACCATCCTGACGCCGAAGTAATCATTCCCCCACGCGTTTTTGAATCAAAGCTGATGATAAGTTCAGGTACTTGGTATGGATCTTTCCCCATCGATGCCTGGATTGTATGTGTCGCAGAAACCAATTGGAGGAATATGAATTCTTATATGATGCAGCGTTCCACCCAACGTCAAGTTCGAGATCGACGATTTGGACGAAGAATGGACCTATTCTCGTCCATTCGACTATATCCATAGTCGAACAATGAACTCTTCTATTAACGATTGGTCACTGTACCTCAAAAAAGCTTTCAAGTGAGTCTTAACTACCACGGATTTCTGATCATTAATGCTGGTATGAGTTCCATCAACGTACTGATGGCGTTAGTCAACTTACGCCAGGCGGATACTTCGAGCTTCAGGAGGCCGACCTCTTTCCCACGTCAGACGATGGGACCTTGAAGGACGACTCCCCTTTGATGAAGTGCACAGATTTGATGTACGAAGCTTCGGTGAAGTTCGGACGCCCATTTCAGCAGATTCCGCCTCTGGTTAAAATGATGGAAGACACTGGCTTTATTGATATTAAGTTGAATAGGTTCAAGTGGCCGACAAACTCCTGGCCCAAGGACCCTAAACATAAAGAGCTAGGGATATGGGCCAACGAAAACTTGACTAGTGGTCTCGAGGGGTTCTGTATGGCTCCTTTTACAAGAGCCCACGATTGGACGAGAGAAGAAGTCCTAGTGTTCTTGGTCGACGTCCGTAAGAACATGAACGATAGGTCTATCCACGGATACTGGCCCCTGTAAGTTGATACGTTTGTTTAATTAAAGTAGTAAATGCTAACTGCATTCTAGCTGGTCGGTCTATGGCAGAAAGCCAACCGAGGAAGAGGCCGGGGCGACGGAGAGCTAGTGTGAGGTTCCGTATCATTCTTTTCATCCGCAACTCTCAAGGCAACAAGGTCGCGTGATTTAGCAAAAAAGAAAAAATAGAAAAAACATTGATTCTGGCTCCCTGATTTGGTTTATCTTAACGCAAAGGTTTTGGCAACGGAATTCATCTCCCCTGCCAGAGCTCAACGTCACACTTTTGTTTTTGGATGTTTTGCTTAGGTATTAGAAAAAAGGAAAAAGAATTCATCAAGCTTTTGTGGAGCTCCTCTTCGAGTCTGCCGTAAACAGCACGGTAAGTGAGGCCAAATCCAGAACAGGGGTCCATCGCTGTGCCACAATCAGCAGATTGGTTCTTTTAAGAAGCGAAGATTTCTGTGCTCACCAGGGGCTATCTATGTCCTTTTCAAATAATCAACCTTCGGGAACAAACAATCAAATGCTTGCGGATGAAAGACGATTTTATCGACTGGCAAACTGGGAGAAACACACCTCAACAGCGCACACCGACGGATAATGTCCACTTTCCACCTCTTTCCCTTGCTTCCCCTTGAAATGCGCCAACGCATATGGGAGTTGAGCATGGAGCCCAGAAATCTCCCGTACGGTCCCAGACCTCGCCCTTATTTCGAAATTTCATGGCCAGCGCCGGCGCCAATACCGCCTGCCTTACAAGCCTGCAACGAATCTCGGACATATCTTCAACGTCACTATGCAAAGGCATTCCAAACGCAGAAAGATCTAAGCAGATATGTTTGGGTCAATTATGAGATCGATAGTATCTACATAGATCAGTATCATCTCGAAGATCTTACTGCAACAAAAGATGGCTCTTCCATTCGTCAGCTCGTTATCTCCGGCCAGTGCGTCGAGCATTTCTGGTATTACCATGAGCGCTGGCTACGCGAGATGAATGGTTTACAGACTGTCACCATTCTTTACCATGAGACAGCGCCAGACGAAAAGGAGGAGGACTGGTGCAGCGACTGGGATGACCAGATGCGGTTTTGGTATTCCGACGATTCTATGGAAGAAGTCGTTCAGTTCGACGCTAAGGTAGTGCATCCGGTGTGCCCGCCTTTCGAACTCAACCGGCACAACTACGAGGAGGCCAAAGAGATGGTTTCGCAAATACGGCGGGCTCAGTTAACTAGAATGGCAGAGTCAATTAGAAGCCGTATGTGGAATCACGGAAAGTAGTTCTTATCCCAATCTCACTAGAGCTACTAGAACCTGAGCCCAAGATTGGGGAGGTACATTGAGGGAACCTCAAGTACACCGCAGGTATATATGGACTTAAGGCTGCTCTGCGTTCAATTGTTGAACAGGGTCGATGCACCTTGATAAAGATCAGAACTAGATAGACAACTCTTGTCGAACACTAGATCTCGAGCGGAAAACTCAGATTGACACCAAGCTTCTCTGTCATCGTTCCTTCCACTAATTATTTTCATACTTCACTAATATTAAGAGAAAAACCGAAAGCTCCTGACAGGAGAGAACAACTCAAGGGGAAGTAGCGACAGTGCATGTCTTGCTCGATTCAGAATGACCATTGTTCCGGACGTCTTCGCAGTTGGTGACGACGAGACCAGTCGGCATGTTCTAAGCATTACAGGTCATGATACTAAGAGAGGTGATCAAGTCCGACACAAGCGTGTTTGGGCCGAATGCTGCTGAAGATTATCACGAAGAGTTATCAGAGTGGCAGCAAACTTCAATGTTTGAAAAGCTCGCATCTGGGAGGCTCCAATAAACACTTTCACGGAGCAGGACAAAAATCAAAACTGTTCGTACTGTCATTCAGCCTTGAAGACAATGTCGGTATGCGATATTTTCCTGCCTGTTCCTGCGCAATATGAATCGCATTCAAAGGGCATATTCACGATGACCTCGCAAAATCTGCTATGTCTTCGATGTTTCCACCTTATCTGTGCGTTTCCGGTCGAGGAAAGACTACATATCACTTGCAGTAGGTTGCCTCGCCTGTCATACGACAACTCCAACCCAAGTTTATTATACGAAGCCGATGACCTCGGAATCTCGCATCCATTCGCTTTCAGCCCCACAACTGACCAGACCGGTGTACACAGGCAGAAGTTCTATGCAAGCTTTGACAAGCTGCGGTCGCATTCGGCGCCACCATCCGACGTTAACGAAGCTTGACCTAGGCTCGGCCTTGGTAGACGCGCTTGTTCCAGGTCTGTGTTTCGCACTGACTCAACTCATCCCATCTAAGGTCTGCAAAAGCTCACCTATCGTATCTGTTTATCACGAGCTACGGAAGTACCCGATAACCTTATTTGTGTACGGCAAAGCTTTCTGAAGGTCGCGGAGGCCACCGCTGCAGCGATGGCGTCTCGAGACAGGCTGCAGGCATCGGGGACGCAGCCGGTCTGACGACTCGCCTCAAACCAGGCGCCTGACAACTTCTTGACACCTGTAACGTCTGCTTGTGGTACCAATTCCATCTCTTGTCGGCCAAGTAAGATTTTAGTTGGCAGCGGAACATAGTTGAATTCATGTATCACCGGAGCCGTTAGCCGCCCGACTTACGCCTCAGTAGCTCCCCGATCGTACCAGGTCCCCGAGAAAGGGGCTCAAGTAAAGATGCTGTTGAAATATATTTATTGAATCACCAAGATGATATCCATTGCATCCATACACACTCTGGCTTCTCAAAAAGACCTTTGATCCAGTCATTTTCTCACGAGTGTAGCCATGGCTCTGAAGGACACATCCGCAGGAGCGGCAATCTACGTCCCCGTTATTCTTCGTTACGTCTACGATCCTATCGTCCTAGGCTTCTATTGTCCATGTGCATGGCAAATATCATCGAAAAGATTACGGAGCTTTTTCAACAGCCACATTACCAGCGCCGGTGCTCGCTCAAGGTCTCGATTTCTCCAACAACAAAGCAATCTCTCAAAATCAGGCTCCTCACCATGCCGAATACTCGACATTGGAGTAGGAACCGGATACTTTATCAAACACGCGCCAATCCCAGAGGGTACTCAAGTAACTCTGGTAGACCTGAACCCCTCGGCTCTGCACGCCGCCTCATCACGCACGCTCGAAATGCACCCACATGTCACCTGCAAAACCTCAGTAGGGGACTTCTTGGATCCATTAGCACGGGGGTTCTCAAGTGAAGATTTTAACGGTGCCAAATTCGACGCGATCTCGGTCATGATGCTGATTCACTGCGTTCCGGGTCCCCCGGCCAGGAAGGCGGAGGCACTGATTCGATTAAAGAGTCTTTTGACTCCTGACGGCAAGCTCTTCGGCGTCACGATTCTGGGGAAGGGTGTCAAGCACAACTCTATGGGTAAGGCTCTCATGTTCTGGCACAACTTATTTGGGGTTTTTGGGAACGCGGAGGATGATATGGAGAGCTTTGTCGGGCCGCTCAGGGAGGCTTTCGAAGACGTCAGGTGGGAGGTACACGGAATCATGTTACTTTTTGAAGCGAGTAGACCGAGATGTTGATCAGATAATACAAGTGGTTGAAAATAAGGAGCGAGTCGAGTGCAACCCCCTCCGATTTCGAATCACACAGGCCAACTAAGTCACACGATTCATTTTACTTTAGCACTTCGCATTCGGTTCGCGAAGCTAGATTCTTCTAGTGACGTGATGTGGATTAGAGTTGCGATGTGCTTGACACCGCTAGAATTTCGCGGAGATTGCTGAGTTGCCTCGTGGTGCTGAAGTTTAATAATGGCTTTGATCAGACGAACCCTACTATGGCGAACCTAGCTCAAGAATAGACGCGATTGGTTGTCTTTTAAAATAAGAAGCTGCCTTCGTTGGGTTCAAGCCATCATCCGAGCTTTACGATACTGTCATTGACCGTTGAAAGCACCGCTGCACGTTGTTCGAGAATGATCGCGTCTACAAAGATTAACAGTGTTCGATGACAAAAACTTCTCGGACTTTCACTGTACCTCAGACACGAAGCGCTCAAGATCGAAAGCCAGCTGAATGTCAAAAGCGTATCATTAATCCACGGGTTGAATAGAATGACAAGGAAAGTATGTGTGCGATTACTGTAGTAAAGAGCCAAGTTCTCAGTAGATTGAATGAACAGTTTTCTGATTTATATGTACTCGAAAGATATTGCGTAAAAATTTCCTATTCTGCACCCTTTTTCTAGGTGCTAGGACTATAAAACTTCCTCAAAAGATGTATCCGATAGAATGAAAGCCAACGTGGGCGGAAAGTAAAGTCCAGCGCTCACTCTCACATACAGCGTTTTGTTCTACAAGTCAAAGTTCCAGCCACCAGTGTAGTTGGAGAAGAACCCTTCAGGATCGTACTTGGCCTTGATCTCCTGCAACTTGCTATAGGTGGTGAAGGTCTTCAGCGGATCTTGGTCGTAATGCGCATCATTGATGAACAGCGGCAGGTCATCTGCAAAGGGCACACTCTCGACCATCTTCTTGAAGCTAGCCTCGAGCTCGGCGGTCTGACCACTAGTGAGGAACGGGCTGGACTGTAGGAGGAAACAGAGCCATAGCCAAGGTCCATCGGGCATCTGCATCGCATTGCCGCCGTTCTGGCTCTTCGACGCGTCGGTAAGACTCTTGGGGATGGGTTGGTAGTCAATCGACAAAAGCGTGTACTTGCCCTTGTTGTCAGCGCCCCATTTTGTCCAGGCCTCGTGGGCGGAGCGATAGGCGTTGTCGACCACGGCGTTTCCGGTCTCGCTCCCAGGGAATGGAATGCGGTACACCCCGTTGCGGAACTGGTTCTTGCCCTTGGACAGCTCGGCGCCGTTGGGCAGGGGCATGTTGATCACCTCCTTGTACGTCTTGGTGCCCAGGGTGTTGAGCAGGTGGGGGATCGAGGTGAAATTGGCAAAGGCCTTCTCTGCGCCAGCCTGGTCACCGTCGTAGACCATGAACAGAATGGCAAAGTCGTCGAGGTTCAAGTCTCCGAGAGCGGGAGTGCCCAGCTTCTCGTAAGTTCCGATAATCGCGGCCTTGGGGTCCTCGTTGTACAAGGTGAAGTTGGCGATGGCGTTCATGACGTTCTGAGTCTGGTTGAACAGATAAATGACATTGCCGGCGTGGAGATTTCCGATCGGGTGTGTCTGGACCTTGTACTTGGTCACGACGCCATAGGCATTACCGCCGCCTCCTCGCATCGCAAAGAAGAGGTCCTCATTTTCGCTGGACGAGGCAGTAACGATGTCGCCGCTCGGCAGCACAACCTCCAGTTCCCGAAAAGAATCAACGGCCAGGCCGTACTGACTCGAGAGATAGCTCAAGCCACCTCCGAGAGCCAACCCTGAGCCAACACCGCTCAGACGGGCCCCAACGACCGTCCTGTTGTACTTGGCGAAGTAGTCGTAGATGTCGCCAAACTTGCCACCGGGCTGGTATGTTCCAAGCGTCGTCGTTTCGTCGTAAGTTCGTTCATTCATCTCGGTGAGGTCGATCAAGACGCCCTTATCTACGCTGGAGAAGAACGTGTTGGGGTTGTGACCCTCCGTCTTGATCGCGAAGCGCGACCCGGCTGCGCGTACCGACTTAAGGATGGCTGCCACATCCTGGGTGGTGGTTGGAAACACCACGCAAGAAGGGTTGTAGCCGCTCTGAGCCGTGTTGAAGTACTCATTCTTGCTCTGGATGTAGTCGATCTTGATGCTCGTGGCAACCTTGGTAGAGCCCAGCTGAGTCGTCAGATCGGTGCAGGCCGTGGAGCCAGCATCTCGCGCAGCTAGCAATGCGCTGGCTGTGCTAGCGAGACCAAGGGTGAGGGCGGCTAAGACTGCGCGCATCTTTGCTGTAAGAACAAAACGAAGGGGGGCGAGAATGCGACTGTTCCTGACACCGCGAAAAAGAGTGACTGCAAATTGACGCTCAAGAACGAAAAGGGTCAAGAACCTGTCAAGAGGATTCACAAGGCTGGCTGTTTCTAAACGTTCCACTCTGGCCGGCGCCCTCCTTAACCGCTTTTGTACTCCGAGCTACCACCGGCGGTCCTCTTCGTCGGCGACCCCCACAATCACGGGCGTCGCTCGGTCAGTTCATCATTTCCCGCGATATGAGGATCGTCGCAAGGATGGTGACCCCGTTTTCGCATCTTCAAATACGAAAACGAGCAGAAAGAAAAGAAGATGCAGCCTCGGGACGAATAAACAATTATAATCACTGCTATTCCACCAAGTCAGATATTCACCACGTTACTCGGATTCGTTACTCCAGCCGGCAATGGCCAATCGCATCTCTACAATCGCGCAGAGGAGTGTCACCGACATGAGAATTACCCCGCAAGATGTCTTTCAATGCCTAGAACATGAAGAGACATACCGGTTAGTTGCCGGCCGATGTTACATTCCTCGGTTGTCGAGCCACTTGCGCGAATTGAACTGAGGAACAGTCTCCTGACATCAGTAGAGCGTCGTGCAGACACCCTCTAGATGGCATATGCACTTTTGCCTCGGTCGGTCATCATGATCGTCCTACTGTCCCTTGTGATATCCATTGTTTATTCGTGATAGCTTCCTTTGCACCGAGTTGTAAATTAATTCTCAAAAAGCATCCGTCTATCCGTTGATTGCTCCTCCTCTATCATTTTTCAATCTAAGCCCAAAAGCAACATCAAACCAAGCCTGTATCCTATTCTAACCTCTATAGTACCCTTTCTTGAGTGTTAAAAACTTCTCAGCCGTAGTTGTTTCAACGTTGTGACCGCGTCGTGTAAATGTTTTGCCATGTTCATGTTTCCCTGTCGTTATTTCGTCCGCTGTTCGTTCCGAATCTTTAAATCAAGTGCTCCATTTCGTGCCCAGTCCAATCAGACCACGCTTCTTTCCGTGATTGTGACCACTGTTTCCCCTTTCTTGGCGGAGGTTGTGACTTTCTTCTCCGTGTATCTCTTCTCGATTGCCTCCAGACTGTGGCCCCGTGTCTCCACCATGAAGAACGCTACAACGACTGTGCAGAACAACGAACAGCCCGCGAAGAGAAAGTATGCACCGAAAGAGGAAACCGAGAGCAGTACCGGAGTAATCAGCGCTACAACATAATTGGCGAACTGTTGGTCGGTGTCAGCAGATTTTCACATGAAATATCTCATGGCAGTCTGCCAGAGAGATCGGCCGAGACTCACCCAGTTGGCGCTCTGAGCTAAGCTCGATGCGCTGCTTCTGGTTTTCCTGGGCAGGCTCTCGACCAAGAAAGTGCGGAAGGAGAGCGCCCAAGTAAAGCTGTAGACGATGGCGAATAGGTAGATGGACACAATGACAACCCACTTGCCAGCTCCACGGTCTGCGTGAACTTCGTCGGCGGCGTACAGCGAGCCCATGAGGACCATCAGAGCAGTGATTAGCACACCGCCCAGGAGACTGGAGGTTTTGCGTCCCCAGCTGTCAGCGAAGAATGTCGCGGGCACAGTCGTGGCCAAGATGACCAGCGCAGACACGCCGGATGCCAGGAAGGTCGCCTTCTCGCCGTCCAACCCTGCCTGCGTGAACATGATCGGCGCGTAGTACAGTATTCCGTCAATTCCGCTCCATTGTTGGAATCCCATGAGGAACAAACCGAACAACGTCCTTCCTCTATACGGGGCGGAGAAGGCTTCGCGGAAGCCGGCGAATGCTTGCCTCAAGACTTCAGAGACGGGGGCATTAGGATCATGTTCTTGGTCGTCAGTTGAAAGCTCCAGTATCTCTTCGCCTTCTTTTTCATTCAACCCGAGCTTCTCAACAACGCGACGGGCCTCGTCTTGCCTGCCCTTGCTCATCAACCACCTTGGAGAAGGAGGAACGATGAAGTAACTTCCGGAGAACAAGAAGCCCAGGAAAGATGCAACAGCCAGCGGGAGACGCCACGCCGCAGATGACATTCCTAGCGTCGCCGTACCATAACACCTGGCAATGACATGTCAGTATTTTCAACATGAGGACATGCTGGGGCAACATACATGAAGTATCCAGTCACGATTCCCGTGACTATGGCAAATTGCGGCAAAGCAGTCATGATGCCGCGGATGCGAGCAGGCGAGATCTCAGATACTTGAACATAGACGTTGCTCAAAAACATGCCTTCGCCGATGCCCTTGATGAGCCGTCCAAGAATGAATACGCCTAGGATGGGAGATGCGCATTCGATGCCGGTACCGCATCCGTAGATGAATGCTCCGAGAGCGAAGAGGCGGACGTGGCCGAACCGGTCGGCCATGACGCCGGAGACTAGCGCCGACAGGGCGCCGGGGATGAGGACGGACGAGACGATGACTCCGTGCATGGTGGGGGAGAAGTCTCCGAAAGTTTCACGGAAGGACGGCATGGTCGTTACGGGGCCGATGCTGCCCGTGTCGAGGCTAACTCATGGGAACTTTTCATCAGCAAAGCCGGGATAGTTGTTGACGGTGAGAAGAGCAAGTACACACCCGAACAGCATGGCGACACATGATGAAATGATGCTGGCTCTCACGTAGAGAGGAGCCGATAAGAATTTCATGTCAAAAACAATGCTTAAGATTCGTTGGATGTGATTCTCAACGGGAACGAAGCATCAATGTTTTCTCTGTGACACCGCAAGATGACTTTTTTTCCTTTGCAGTTGGCATTGGCAAAGTCAATACCAAAAGCCGGTGGGTGAAAATTGGGTTTTAGCCCAACGCCGCCCGCCACAGCGCTTCGCAATGCCCGATTCATCGAAACCCACTTGTAGAGTTTTGCCTTATCGTGAATTTCGGGCCCGTGGAGGTCCACATCTTATGCCGATAGGGTCCATTGGCGTTGCAAAAGTTGCCTCTTTCGGAAACTTTGGCGGAACGGCGCATGTGAGTAGTGAGCTGTCTCAAAGATAAGCTGCATTACAATGGGCCTAGAACGCCGTGATCGTCGAGTCAAATGGCGTATGAGAAAGGTGTGGTTGGTTCTGTGCTTGTTAGTAGCGGGCTGACGCCGCCAAGATCTCACATTCTCCCAACCATTTACGCAGGCTCGTCTGAAGAGGCACGAGGTAACACCAGAAAGGAGAAAGGGTCTGGAGATGAGACCCTCTCAGGAAAATTTGACGGAAAGCAACACCCAGTCTCTATTAATATCTACAGACCACCACACCACGCTTCAGTTTCAACGAGACCCCGCTCATTTCCGTCGTGCCTTGAACGTTTTCAAAGGGTTTACTTTCCTGGTTCCGACCTTCTTGCCACGTCCAAATTTGCCCTTCTTATTCCTCAACTTGCCGCCAACCTTTCTGAATGGTACCATACCGACCTCGTTCGAAGTGAGCGAGTCTTTGCCCTCCTTGGGAAGCAAGTATTCGGGTATATGCTTAAGATGGGGCTGCTGTCTTGCTGTCCTCAGCTCTCCGTCGTGACGTAGGTGCTGCAGTTCTGTAGGGTTCTCCTCGAAGTATCTGTAGAATGCAGTCAGTAGTGTCTCACAGAAACAAAGGCTGCACCGATAGTGTGTGCTTAGAAAGTCTTACCTCTTCAGCTTTTCACTCTTCAAGAGCTCCTGCTTCAACTCCCTCATACGCGCCTCTCTCACAGCGACCTTCGTTACTGCTCTCAACGCGTCGTCCAGACGGTACCGGAAAGCATCAAGGTGCTCCTTCTTGAAGTTGTACGGCTTCACCTCCTTGCCCTGCTTCGCCTGCTGCCTCTTGATCTTGGCTAGTACCTTCTCGTCGTTCTCCGCGGTCTCGATGCTGGTGGGCATGTGCTTGCGGTACAGCTCCTTGGGTACGTAAAACGAAAGGGCCATGCCTGTCCTCCCAGCACGCGCTGTCCGACCGATTCGGTGTGTGTATGACGATGCCGACGTCGGCAAGTCAAAGTTGACAACGGCTGCCACATTCTTGAAGTCGATGCCTCGTGATACACCAAACTCAACATCCCGCTTTGACGACTTCTTCTTGTTCTTCTTCTTAGACTCCTTCTCCTTCCCCTTCTCGCCCTCACCTTCCTCCTCGGCGTCCTTTTCTTCAACGCCCATAGCGCTCTTCTCGTCGGACGCGATAATGATGTCGTAGACACCACGGTTAAACTCCTCGAGCACGTGTGCTCTTGATGTAATGGGGAGCTCGGAGTTAAGGATACAGCTTCGGACCTGGAATTGTTCTAGGAAGAGCTTGAGGCGGTATGATCTGTCGACGTCGTTGACGAAAATGAGGCACTTTCCCTTGACTAGCTTCAGCTTGAAGATGATGAACGCCAACAGGAACTTCTCGTCCTCGGCGCAGCTCACAACGAATTGCGACAAGTTATCACCCTCCGTTTCCTCATCGTCCAAATCGAGGACGGTCGGTTTCCGGGCGAAGATTCCTTGCAGAGAGGTGACATCGGTTGACAACGTAGCGCTCATCATCAGAAGCTGAACACCCTTGGGGAGCTTCCTTGCGATGTTCTCCAGATCCTCGTTGTAGCCGTACGACAGAATGAGGTCCGCCTCGTCGAGAACAAGGTAGGAGAGCTTTTCGAGTGACAAGGCATCGTTGAGAATATTCCTCCATGCGGTGGCAGGTGTGGAGATGACAATATCGGGGAAGTTAGACAGGAGGGAGCGTTGGACGGCATCGGAGATCTTGTCGACAAGCTTGACAGCGTGGATATCCTTCGCGCAGTAGGCCGAGAACTGCTCGATCGCTTTGAGAACTTGGTCGGCGAGTTCGCGTGTCGGGACAAGGATAACGGCAGTCGTGGCAGGAGAGGAGTCAGTCTGGAGGAGGGCTGGTTAGCAGCGGTCGCGAAAGCGTTGGTCTGTAGTTTCTTACTGTCTTGCGCTTCAGGATGCTAGACAGTACGGGCAAAACGTAAGCGGCGGTCTTTCCAGAGCCACAGGGAGCCTTCGCAACGACATCCTTGCCGTCAAGAGCGAGCGGGATGGCCTTCTGTTGAACTGGCGTCGGGTCCTTGAAGCTCTCCGCGGCGACGCCCTGCACCAGTCGCGTGTCGAGGCCAAGATCGCTGAAAGTGAGTTCCTTTGCGGCAGGCTGTGGCTCCTGGGTCTTGACGCGCTTTTCCTCCTTCGGCGCGGAGTCGTCGGTCTCGGTGTGCTTTCTCTTCATTGTGGGAGTGGCAGTGGTGACGGCGGTGGTGGCAGCGTTGTCGATGCGACGATGTAGACGGCGGTTGAGTTGAGGCGGCTGCACCTCAGCCAGAAAAAAAATCTGGAGGGGCGGGTCGAGACTTTTCTTATCTTATCGGCAAGCACAGACACTGGACGCATGGTTATGTAAGCCCAGTACCCACCATCTCCACCCCGGGGCCGGGGTCGGAGCCGGGACACGGACAACGGCGGCGGCTGACGATGGCAAGGACGATAACAGGGACAAAGATAGGAGAAATTTAATACCTGCGATGATAGAGATGACAGTTTCATGATTTTACAGTCAAAAAATTCCCGTAACTCGCCAACAAATATGCTGGTTATGATCTCATCTCTTCAACAGCCTTCAGGTAATAGGCGGCAAGTACGTATGACCACAGGTAAAGGAAGCGTTATCTAAGTGAGCTGAATATAGACGAATGATAGAAGAAATTATTGTAAATCTACCCGAAATAAAGAAATTGGTTGTAAGTTACGCTAATTCTAATCGAAACAATCCATTGCGAGCAACACGCTCTCTAATATGCATCATTTACGATATCGCTCTCGCTTTCATGACCCCTTGTCCATATTATACTGGTGTACAGGCCTGGATGATAAGCTCTATGACCACCGTCATTAACTATTTCATCCGTGCCCAGGAGTAAACAATTCCGCTAACGAATCCTATCGCTATCGCAGAAACGCTACCCACCGTTACGGGGGCTGAAAAGAAGATCAAGCCACTCAGCGCAACAGGTAGCTTGTTCAGGGCGCCTACCATCGAATAGGTTGTCGAAGAAGTAACTCTGATGCACCATGCTGAGCTATATGAGATTGTAATCGCACCGAGGCCTGAGTAGATCATGCCGGCTATGATACTCTGCCGCGATGATTGGGGGAAGTTCTTTGCCAGGTTGACAGCTGACCAATCTTCAACCATAAGCGAACAAGAAAGCAGGACGGGGATCGTCAGTAAGTTGTTGTAGAACATGGCTGCTAGAGTCAGTCGAAAAGATCCATGACGTAAATGGAATGCACGTACTGTCCCAATCGCTAAAGTTCATCTTCTTGATGATCTTCCGCATTGAAAGGAGATATGCGGCGCTGCACACAATATTGATGCCCATCCAGGAATATCCAACATCAAGATTTGATGACAGACTTGAGACGCCTTTGCTCAAAGACGCGTTGGCGGCGCTTTGTATGTCGGCCCATGCTGCAACGATCGAACTGAGGACCATCAGGCAGAATGACAAGAAGGCCATTGGAGTGACCTTGCCTCCGAACAACAAAACCTCGCCATACGCGATGACAATGGTAGTGAGATTCTTGAAAATGGTGTAAACCGGGACGGACAGAAATTGTAGGGCTTTGTTGCCTGTGTAAATCATGCTCACGAGAAGCAGGGAGATTGGAAACCCTGCATGAAATAAAGAAGTCAGCCTATGGGGGAGCAATGAATGAAAAATGATAACTTACACTGTTTGGCTTTCGTGTAATTCAAGGGAGCCAGGTTTCGAATCATTCGCAGTCTTTTCGCAAATATGATCGCAGTAGTCGAGACGATAGCTTGGACGGCAAGGTAGAAGAATGTCAGGTTCCACGAGCTCCCTGACACAACGTATTTGTTGACGACTGTCATGCTGATAGATGACAAGCAATACGCAACAATGGATAAGGCAGTGCTATTTTCGATTTGCCTGGTCGTGGTTGAAGCGCCATTGGATTCGCTCGCAAGCAGGCCAGAAGCGGCGTTATCGGATGGTTTCGCGTCGCGGCCATCGTAAGCGTCATCCGGGATGTTGATGACATGATCACCCTTTTCGGGATTAGACATCGCGAAGAGTAGACGAAGGCTCTCGATAAGATGGAAGAAATGGAAGAAGGAAGGAATTTTGTGGACAACGTGGGTTTGAATTTTCCGTTCATCAGTGCAGCCGCGAAAGTTATTTGGAGAAGAGCGACAGTGAGAAGAGGGGTTTGCGACGTGTGCTTGATTGTGGCTGTGTTCAGTCTGCAGTCAGCCATCTCATTTCCCCAATACGAATTTCTGACCACACTTTGAGGAGGCTGTGTAGCCTGTGCCGCGATGTCACTAGCGTCTCACTTTTATCAATACATGTCTTTGTTCAATCTCGAAACATTTTTCTTTCAATAGCGGCGAACGTGTCAAAGAGAGAACTTCTCTGCACACTACAAATTACATTTTCATTGGTATTAAGTATACATTCCAAGTCTATATTCCAAATTGCAAAGCCCATTATTAGACGAACAGTGACAGAACAGCATTGTACAAGAGCTATAAGTTTGCATTTGACAACCTGTGATCTGGATCTTTGTTTGAAACTCTTACTGCGGCTTACCAATCACGTTCTTCTTCCAACTGTTGTAGTTGACGATCTTGGTGTCCGAGAGAAGCTTCCAGTCCTTCTTGCAATCGACTTGAAAGTCCAGAGCTCTGTCGTTGACAAGGTCTGTCGGGATGAGCAGCTGCTTAGCCCCCTTAGCAAAACCGACGGCGTCGTTGGTCTTGTCAATCTTGGACATTCGAAGAGCGCGATTGAATGCTTCGTCATCGACCTTCTTATTGTTGACAGTTTGTGTGGACGCCCAATCATACTGCGCACCAATTTTCCACCAGGTGTTCTGGGGAATCCACGCTTTGATGGTGTTGTCGACGGCGATTCTGTTTGCGGTAACAAGACAATGCCTAAAAAAGAAATATTAATTAGACTTGAAGCACCATTTGCGATATCACGAAATTCCTACCAGTCGCCAGAGTTGCCTTCCCACTGCCCAGGTCCAGGAGTGATGTAGACACCCTTTCCGATCTGGGCTCCGCCAGTGGTCAATGCCGGCTTGTAAACGATTCTGTGGTTCTGGTTGTAAATCTTCGCTTGGTCCTGATTCACTTGTCAGCTTGCAAGTTACTGAGGTCACCACTCCATGGGACACCTACCGGATGGACGGTCCTGTAACCAATTGTGATGCGGTCTCCTTGGAGTGTTGATTTTGGCTTCCCTCCCAATCCACAGCAGCCCTGGCGAGGTTCTATGGGCGCTGAGACAACGCTGCTAACGAGAACCGCAGCCGAAAACAAAGTAAAAATGTTGGGAAGAATCATGTTGAGGGCTCTATCGGATGATTTGGCGAGAAGTAAAATTGTATGATAATTCTGTTTGATGCATGAGAGAATGATGCTCTCTTCTTCGACTAATAGAGCTTCGAATGTCGAATTTATAACTCTTTAAATGGCACCATCATCTTTTGGAATCTATGTTGATCTGTTCGTATGTTGGTGCCAAGAGAGGTCCTGAGCGATGCTGTCCTGCTCGGTATTAAGCTCGCTACGCAACGCACGATGTAGGTGGGCCTTGGAGGATATCCGCACCGCCAAGACATGGGCATTTTCTAAAGTTAGAAGGCACTTCGAGGTACGAAAATCAGTGCCAGCTGAAACTAAAGGATCGTAGCGGTCATGATTCGGGTATAATGCGATCTATTTTGCGAAGATACCTTGTGCTTCAGACCATCAAGGTCAAAACCGGTGACAATGAGGCCACAAAAGCCTAGTTTGGCAGTGTCGAGATGTCCTTGGCTGGCCACCCTCGAAATTCTGGCGAGAATTTCACCTCCCACTTCAACCGATGGCACCCATAATTTTCATTGCGCTTTGGTCGGATATTCCCATTCAATATGTCGATTACCATTCTTTCAACAAGGGCTTGAGCTTCAATCTTGCGCAAATAGATGTGCGCGTCGTCAAAGATGAAGACTGAAGAATGTTCTGCGTAATGCTCGGCCAATGTCGCGTCCTCTCGCTGGCCACAAGCCCCCAGGACTGTAAGGTCTTCTGTGAAAGCTCAAAAGGCCAAGTAGACTCAATTGTGAGTTTTGTCTCGTTACGAAGGACTTCGTAACGAAGCAAGAATCCTTTGCCCACAGCGCCATGCCAAATCTCCATGGTGTGCAAGCGCGGCATACGCCACGCTGCTCGACTTGCCGCCAACAGTAATTCGTTCGTTTTCGTGGAACCCGTCCGTCTTGTAGGAATTCGAGAAGTAAGTGAGAGACTTCTGAGCCTACTCCACAGCCTCATCCCGACCGGCAAAGCAGAAATTCTGGTTTCGGAATAGAACGGTCGAAAGAAGTCGCTCGCTTCTACTGCGTGGGATATGACAAGTGTCTGCATATCAAAACTGGCCCTAAGTGAAAACCACCTCAGTTGCACATTCCTTGGCTTAGGTTTTCGGCCATGCAACCAAGATTCCTGAGCCTCCCATATGGACACTGTAAAAATCTTTGGCGGCAAGTTCGCCAACAGAGCTCCGCATGCTTGATTTCTCTCTGCTTGACCCTCGCCATCGATGCTTCGCCACGGCATGTATTATACACACCTCAAGCCGTCCAGTCGCTGCAGGATTTTCTGTATCGCAGAAGATGACAGAGACCGAAACATGTGGCGATTTATTGAAAATTCTGAGATGACTGGGACCTGCGGTAGCGAGATCTCTCCGTCCCGACTAGAAAAGTCGAGTAAACTTCCAATGAGGCGTTGTTTTGAGCCGAAACGCGAAAAGACTCACGATTGATGTCGGTGGGCGAGAACGCCATGACTCTGATCATTTCGACTGGACTGATCGTCGATTTGCGCATTACGAAAAGAATGCCGAGTGTCACTGGGCGAGCTAGCACACATCTCAAGCCAGATGCCGTGGCCGGTCGGTAAAGTCCAGGAAGACATCACCGAGAAGAGAGATACCAGTCCTTCAGTGAACCTGGCGTTGTTTTTTTTAAGGATAGTGACTTCGTCTTCTTTCTTATCGCATCCATCACAGGTGTAGCTTCTCAAAGAAATATGGAATGTGATTTTCTTACACACTGCTAGCCGGCTGTCGCTCATGTAGGACTGAAAGGTGATGATTTCGAAGGGAGAGTACGGCAGATTGATACTTCGGAATGTAACTTTCTCAAAAAAGGGCTGCCAGTCGAGACAGACACTGGCGTAGTTGGAAAGTCGGTTGGTCCCAAGCGCGGATGAGGATGGAGTAGGTAGGAAAGAGGGTATGGGTAGGACGGAGGGCGCGGGTAGAGAGGTTGCGGATAAGCTCGGGGGTGGCGGCGGGCGTCCCGGCTTTCGCCCCGGTGGTTTCGTTGGAGACGCTCGCTCCGGCGTCCACCTCCATGGTGTCTGATAGCTTGAGGTGTGTGAGCCTATTCCAGTGTACTCCCGTTGGCGGGGCTTCCGCTGAACCTCTGCATTCAAAGTAGAAAGGTCGGGAAAGTCCAATACATCAATATCGTGACCGACTAGAGCAGCAGACTGAACCAACTGTGCATCACTTGGTATTTCTTGCTTCATCTTGCGCATGAAAGTCGAGAAACTCTACAGTCATCCCACAAGCACTGTATTTGAGATTTGATAGGCGTGGAGAAAACTAGCCTTGAAAAGTGTCACTACAGGATGCGCGCTGCCTGCATCTGTAGATCCTGAATTCATGGTGCAAGGGGCGTGGATTGAAAAATGCTTCAACTCCAGGAGCAGTCTATGAATCAATACAGTATCAAATTTCGTTTCATCATTTGAAGTTGGAATTGACTATTCCGGCGCAATGAGTTGGGCAAGCGCTCTGATGACATCATTAACTATCAAGCCCTGTAGTTTGCACGCAAATGCTAAGATCTGACTTTACTGCTTAAGTGCAAGCTCTGGATAGCTCGGCAAGGGCCAGCCTCCCTTCTCCTCGCTGGAGAACTTGGTTGCTATTTCGGGGACGCGTAGCAGGCAGAGGATCCAGACAATCCACTGTAGGATGAGAACGCCCCAAAACGTGTCTGGCATGGTCAGCCTGATCATCGGCAGGCTGAGCTTCTGACATTCATCGATGAAGGGACGCAGAATCTTGTCGTAGTTCTCAAAGGCGAGCGGAAGATCATCTGGATGCCGACTTATCTCCCCTGCCAAGACATACGCTCCCACGAAGCTGCTAGTTGTGCCCATGGCACTGAAGGGCGAGGGACAATGTGCCGCATCGCCAAGAAGAACAACGCGGCCCTTGGACCATGTCTTGGTCTGGACCTGGACGACTTCCTGGCTGTAGAAGTTCTCGGTTGTCTTCATGCCCTTCATGAAGCGGTCCGTCTGCCAGCCAGCGTTTCGAAACTTGTGCGCCCAGAACTCCTTCTGCTGTTCCACGGATCCCCTGTGAATGAGTGTTGCTTCCTTCGAATGATCTTTGATAAAGAAGTAGACTTGCGTCTCCGTCGGATTGTGAGTCCTACGAAAGACCATCCGCCCCTCTGCTGGATGGTACACTCTGCCGATATTGTCATCGCCATCCTCGCGCGGAATGAACCAGTATGATGCATGCAGACCTAGATGACGGTAAGGGTCTGGGGCGTCCGTTGGCTGTGTGGCTTTCCTAATCCTTGAACCCTGACCATCGGCTCCAACGAGGATGTCGAAAGTATCGGACGAACCGTCAGAGAAGTGAGCGATAACCTCTTTCTCATCCTGCTCGAAACTCTCCACAGTCTTCCCGAAAATGTAGTCGACATTGTCCTTTGTTGCATCGTAAAGAATGCGGACAAGATCACCTCGCATGATCTCATACTCAGACGTCCCACTTTGGGCACCTTTGCCGGACGTGTTAGCCATGAGAGTACCGACGGCTTTGCCAGTGGAATCAACTATAGCCATGCCGGCCTCGTCGACTCGGTTCGCTCTAACGGTGTCGAGGAGTCCCATGCGCTTGAGGACCTCGATACCTTGCTCGCGGAAGTCGATTTGTGCTCCGGTCGCTCTCAGTGCCGGGTAACGCTCGACGATGGTAACACGATGGCCTAGCCGTGCAAGCCAGAATGCCAACGCTGGCCCAGCGCAGCCACCACCGCAGATGAGAATTTTCAGGCGGGTCATGACGAATGAAATCGGTCGCTGATGAGACTGCTAGACGGGGATATGATCTTGGGTGTGGTGCCTGGTGAGTGTCTGACACGCAATGAAGGGCGCTTTGGAATGGCCAACGTAGCTCCTTTATAATCATGAAGTCCCTTTAAGATTCTAGACATAAGCATTCGGGCTCCCGCTAGCCCTCAGCCACCCATCTCATGCGGCAGATCAATAGCCGTTTCCGGCCAAGGGAAACACAGCGTGTACGTAAGCCAGTTCTAAGACACGACTTCTTCACAGCCTTGATATCTGTGCATACGGCATTCGAAAGGTCCTTGAAGAGTTCGGTAGTAAGCCCGAGGCATAGCTGGCAATGGCGGTTGAGACGCGTCCTCCATCTGTTAGCAGTGTGCTGCTTGACAGTTGGTGCGGGGATGACATGATCCTTACAGCTGAGGACCCCTGAGACCTGCATGCCTAATTACGGCTAGCAGGCGCAGAGCAAATTATGTACTGCTAGTGTCGTCAGATTCCGTTGCCTACTTATCCACTGGCGATGCTTTTCTTCAGATGAGTATCATCGAGAACTTGAGGCGAGCTCGTTGGTCTGATTCGAAGTCTCCTGCGCTACTCAGGCTGCCCCTGAGTAACTCACGGAGTGACACGTTATGAGCGGGCAGGCAATTTTAGATATTCTCTTCCCAATATCGCACCCCTGTATATCCATCCCGCTCCCTGTCTCAAGGGTCCAAATCCTCAGCTGAGCCTGGCCCTGCTCCCTGTTGGGGCTTCTGGAGCGTACTTTTTTAAGCGACATGCGGCGCGGACCTTTCCTCGACAACCCGATCGCACGGCTACCATGCGCATTCTTTTCTGTGCACACCCACATGCTTCTTTTCACCCGGCCATCACCGACTCATCGTAGAACCTGTCATTGCCTTGAATGAGTGAATCTGTGTGGCCGAAGGAACATGGACGATCCAAACGATGTCGCGCACCTGGACCGCGCGTCTGTTGAGTTGAGAGTTAATAAGACAAAGACCAGGAAGGCGAAGAAGAAAGACGCCGGGCGACTGGAAAAATTCGGTCAATGGCTGCTTGAAAATCAGATCGGTATGTAAGAAAGTGCTGACTATGTCTCTGGCTGCAGATATTACCCCCCAATGCCGCACCCTGAGCCATGGAATGCTGACATCCGCCCCATGAACAGGCCTTGCGTTTCACACCGTCTGGCCCCTTCTTCTTGCGCACATCTTCGTCCCCGCGACCCGCCCATTCACGTCGAAGTTCTTCGGGCTTTCATACTACAACCCAAACACCGGCAAATATGGCGCCGGCCATAACGATCTCTGCTTCGTCGCGTTCTGTATAGTGCTCTGCATCGGCATCCGCGCGTCCTTGATGCGTCATGTTCTCTCCCCCCTTGGCCGACGCTGGGGCATCAAGAAAGAGAAAGATGAGACGCGATTCGCGGAACAAGGCTGGATGCTGACCTACTACGTAGTTTTCTGGCCTCTGGGGATGGTATTTCTGACACCGAGCATCAATCGATCACGAGCCTCATGAAACTGACTGGATGTTAGTACCTCTACTGCAAATCACCTTATTACCTAAATATGAAGGAGTTGTGGTCCAATTGGCCTCAAAGAGAGCTCGATGGGCTCATGAAGATATACATACTGGCTCAATGGGCATACTGGGCCCAGCAGGTCATTTCCGTCAATATCGAGGAAAAGCGAAAGGACTACGTGGAAATGCTGGTCCACCACGCAATCACACTATCTCTCATCGCCGCAAGCTACGCATATCATCAGACACGAGTCGGCCATTTGATCTTGGTACTGATGGATGTGATTGAGTTGATCTTCCCTGTGAGTTTGGCGGATACGAAGACGCTGCAGAGTATCCTTGCTAACAATACAACAGCTGGCGAAGTGCCTCAAGTACATCGGCTTCAAGAAGGTCTGCGATGTGGTCTTCGGGGTTTTCTTGTTTGTCTGGGTCTGTACCCGGCACGTTTTCTACCTCATGGTATGTTGGAGTGTCTACTATGACCTACCAAAAGCCGTGGAGATGCCGTGTTTCCGGGGCGCACCTGGCGAAATCGAGGGACCATTCCCCGCGCCGACAGAAGGCTGGTCGCACCTTCTGGAGCCATTTAAAGACCCTGCGGGAACTGTGTGCTTCACTGACGGCGTCCGCCGAGGCTTCTTGACGTTTCTGCTGGCTCTCGAGGTCGTCATTTGCGCGTGGTCTTTCTTCATCATCCGGGTCACGGTGCGCGTTCTCAAGGGCGCCTCAGCTGAAGATGTCAGGAGCGACGTGGAGGAGGCTGAGGAAACGGAGAACGAGTACGAGGTGGTGGAGGCCGTTGAGGAGGAAGTGGGTGTTGACTCCATCGATCTGAAAGCATGGGAGCGTCGCAACTCCAAGAAGGATACGGGCTCAAGGGTGACTGGCGTCAGAATTCGCAGTCATAGTGACCGGAAGGACTTCCTCAACAGGATTGGTTGCGAGAAGCAGATTGATTAAGAAACATGAGCGGAAGATTATGCTTAAGGGCTTTTGAGGGCTTTTGGCCCTGGGAGGATATCGTCCGAAAAGGTGCGACGACTGCGCAGTTCTTGCAGCCATCACTCCAAATCCAGGCGAGACTGCTAGCGACGAGTTCATTTCTGAATTCAAGGGCTCGCTGAGCGTTCCTTCACTACATCCGCAACGCAACTTAACATTTACTCCATCATCCACATACACTAATAATTGAAGGGAGGGGTAAGGGTTTTGTCCCTTTTTTCCCCCCCTCGCGTTCTTCATGTCATTGCCAACCCAATCAACCTCTGCACCTGGTGGAGCTAACACAATTCCGAACAACTGTTTATCTTGATTCATAACTCAATCAGTCTTGATAACGAGGATCGATACTTTGTATGTACACATGGGTCTCTACTGCGCAAGGCTATAACTGGTCTCGTTGGCTTACTTCATCAAGTCAAGACCACTGACCAACGAAAGTACGGCGGGGTTTATAGTGAGATGCACCAAGAAATGCAGTCAGGTGGGGGCGACCGTCACATGGAAAGAAGCACAGTTGAGACGAACGAAGAAGGTGTCTAAATGCCGCATCAACAAGCCGATGTATCTCGGCTTTGATCTCGCCTGATGAAGTACTGCAACTTTTGCGCGAAGCTCACCGTCGAGCTGCTTAGCTGCCGAGATGCAAAGTTCCACCCAAATCTCAAGTCTCTCAAGGAAAGCGCCGAATCAGGTTGTGCCTTTTGTGGTGTCTGCTGGGCCAGCGTTCAGGCAAATCGCATCCCACCTAAGTACATCACTGAGCTCCTCAATGGTGAAAGACCGAGCACCTGTTATGAAAACGAAAGGAACAAGCCATGGTATCCGAGCATTTGGCTTTGTGTTGAGATCATACCTAAAGGGCTGGGGCCTCACTGCGGTACTGAATCTCGTGTTTCGATGACTTGCGGGCGAGGATGGTCATCAGGCGCTGTCGGTCTGTCGGAGACAAACCCTCCTGGCACTTCTCCAGTGCTGGCAAGTCTATCTGTTTACGCATGAGTTCGCTGACTTCAAAATCCGTTTTCGTCGGAAATCGGAAATTGGGAAGCGTCGACTGACATCCAGAAGATTCGCCGGATCTGCCGCTGCGCTGATGTATCCTGGATGGTGCATCGCCGCGGATCCCGACACTAGCCTTCAGGTGTCGTTCATTCGCTCCCGCCTTCAAGAGTATTGTGCGAATAATAAGAGTTGCGCAGGCCCAGCATCCTTGCAGATGCCCACACGGGTCGTCGATGTAGGAGGGAACACGCGTCCTAGACTTCTTTTCACTGGATATATGCGCGAGCCGTACATGGCGCTTTCCTACTGCTGGGGCCCGTCAAAAGATACCCCTAGATTGACCCACGATAATTTTGGGACACTTCTCATCCAGATTCCAGAGACTATACTAGCGAAGACTCATCAAGAAGCCATTCAGTTAGCCCGCGTACTTGGCTTTCAGTATCTCTGGATTGATGCCCTTTGCATCATACAGGGTGATGCAGACGACTGGGCTTTCGAGTCGAGGCGGATGGAACAGATTGATGGCAACGCGAACTTGACTCTCGTGGCCGCGCGTTCTGCAGATTCTCGTCTAGGATTCAGCATACCAAAGACAAAACAAGCACAGCAGCATCGTCCACTGCCGCTCTCGTCTTCTAGTAGCGAAGTTTTATACTCTTCGCCACACCGCCGACAAACGAAAGGGCTTAGTAGTACCCGTGGATGGTGTTATCAAGAAGAAGTCCTTTCTAAGCGCATGATCATTTTTGCTGGGCACCAAATTGCATACTATCGCCGTACTTGGAGCTCATGGGAGTCTGGGGACTTCGTTATATGGAACTCGCCAATTGCTGGGATGAGTAGAGCTTGCCCCACCTGAAAGTCAGAAGGTGCAAACCATTAGGGCTTTGGTATACGAGGATACATGCGTACATGCTGTGTAAGTTGTCCAACCCTCACGAGATCTTCGCCGCCATAGCATCTATCGCCAAGCTTGCTGGAGAAGGTCTAGATTCCCATTATCTCGCAGGGCTCTGGGAATGTGACATTGCCAGAGGGTTTCTTTGGAAACTGAAGCGACATATAGCTTCCGGCTGCCGTCTCACTGTCATACGTCCTAGCTCAACAAAGCACGCTCCATCGCCGGTCATACGAGCTCCATCATGGTCATGGGCGTCTATTGAAGGCCCAGTTTTTATAAAAATCAGAGAAAGTTGCAAGCTTCTAGCATCAACGAAGTCATCAGGCTGAGACCAGGTGCTGAAAATGACAGATGGACAACAGATGAGAGTTGTGATGTGCAAGCGTTACACATACCACACCGCGAGCTTTGCCTGATTAGAAAAGTTGCTAAGGCTTTTGTTCTTCGCGTATTAGTAAGAGATTATTTGTGCTACAAGGACAGCAATTGGTCGTGATCGTCCGGTATGTGCAGCGCAAAGGCATATGAGGTCGGGTTTCTTCTTTCTGACGCTGAATGCATGGACGGCAACAAAACTGTGTTGAATGACAATAACAGTAAGTTGGATGAGAAAGTAGTCGCAATTAGTTTTTTTTTTTTTTTTTTTTTTCTTCCCTTCTAACTTTTCTTCTTCGCAGTTATTATAACCCATTATGTATAGATAACAGTTAACTAACCTACTTAGGTAATAGGCGGCTAGGATAGAATATTTATACTATAGGATTATAGGAATAATAGGGACTTACTTAGAAAATAGAAGAACTATAGTTTAGGTTATATAATAATAAGATAAAGACTAAGTAAATAGTATAGATTACTAAGTACTTAGTAAGGATTACTAAATATTTACTAGTAATTACTAAGTACTTATTAGTACTTACTTAGGAATTAGTAAACTAAATAAAAGAACTATTTAAGACTTATATATAGTATAACCTTAAACTTAGTTTATAATTAAACTTCTATAGTTTTTTAGTAATTAATTTAATATTTATCCTTATAGATACTTTTAGCTAACTTTTACTATAAATTACTTATTAAATTTAAAACTAATTATTTTAGTTTCTAAAAGACTTAATTTACTATAACTTATTACTTATAACTTAGATTATAACCTTAGTATATTATTATAATA